AGGGATCGTAACTGGTAACAGTTGTTTTTTAAAAGTCACTGTTTAATACCTCTTTCAAGATTTTTATGTAAAACGCATGAAATAATCGTTCTTCTGTAAGTTTTCTTCAAATTTGACAATTAAAACTTATTCTCTGAGTTTTATTTTACGCTTGGAAAATAAAAGTTATTCTTTGAGTTTTATATAAAAATCATTTGATAGGTTTTATTTAAGTAACGTAATCAAAAAATTTAAAATATAATTTATTAATTGTATATATATATTCAATGAATAACTGTGGTTTTCTAAGCGTAAATTAAAACTCATAGAAAAATGTTTTTTTTTTCAAATTTTATATAAAACTAAATAAAATAAAACATTGAATTTCCATACGCAAAGAAATATTTTGAAAAATTAATTTTTTTCCTGAGATTGAACGCAAGCTTAAAAGGAAAATACACTAACCAACCCTTCCAAGGTCAAAACCTGAAGTTCATAAAAAGTGTTGTGATAGTAAATATGTTTGCAGTGTGTCGATTCGTGGACTCGAACTCCGTACTGCGCTTTCCTAAGGAAATACTATTTCAAATACAAAGTCGCAACCCCTCTACCCGCTAGGCCACGCTGTGGTCAAGTCAAGAACAACTTTTACTTAATTTAAGAAAGTTTGTTGTGATTTTAAGAACGTTTAGGTATCGTAAAGTAACTTGTAGTCGCTCTGCTTCTCTAATACAAAATAATTATATTCCCTGCGAATGAGAAGTCTTTGGGATTGTCGAAGCTACGACTGTCACAACTTTTTCCAAAATTCGACTAAAGTGGAGACCCGGCGCCCGGTGCTTGGTGTTGGGTAGCCGCTGCTTGCGTCGCAGTTTGGGTTTCTGGCACTGTCGTGGTGCAATATCCGCAGCTGAAGCTGGCCTTGCATTGTTCTCATGCCGGCTTGGCAACTTCGCTGTTGCCGGGTGACGGTGTTAACTTGTATTTTGTTTTTGGATGTATGGCTCTTTTTCTATATTTTTTACAAACTGATGCGGAGTTATACGTAGGGTGTGGCTGTATAAATTTCCGTCTTCATCATTAAGCTAATCGTATCCGTGAAAGGCTACCTTACAATTCATACGTGGCGTTTGCGAGGAGTTGAAAAACTCCCCACAAATTGTAGAGGCAGTTATACATGGTGGCCTGCAGGGAGAACTAGAGGTTAGAGAGAGAGAGAGAGAGTGGGGAATTCGACGGCGATGGGAAAACGAAAATAACGGAACGCACCGGACTTTGGACTCTGCCGTGGACTTTGGACCAGGAAAAGAAGTGCCACATCTCAGTAGCAGGACAGCGCGCCTGCGTGCCACATGCCACAGGAGGTTTAGCAGGATAGCGCCAAGATATCGGACTCCATGTGGTAGCCGTGGGTCTAGAACAAAGAGGCCAAACTGGATCCGTGGACTTCCGCGGGCCGTGCGCAAAGGGGAAATAACGGTTCCCGGATGCCCTATATAAGGCCGCAGAGCTCTGAGAGCATGATCAGTCGATCACGAGGAATCAAAGAACCAAGTCAACCAGCAGCACGAGAACAACAAGTCAATAACAAGAAGTCAAGTCGTAAGCAGCGCTGTGGGAAGGCTACAAGGAGCAAGATCGCTACGTCGAGACGTTCGAAATTGGGACATCAGAAATCTCCGAACTGAGGCACAGGTAGCTGAGGTCCAAAGGGCATCACACGGCTAAGTCAAGGCGGTTTGTTTCTTACTTTGTCGCGACCACACCCTGGCACATCGCCCGGCGGGTCCGTCAGAGCCGAGCAATAAATTCCTGCGACGAAGAACCTTGAACTCGGGGAAAGTTGTCTAGACCCAGTGTGCCTTGCCCGACTGAGCAAGACCTGGCACGAAGGACAAGCGGTCGATCGATTTGTGGCTTTAAGAGACGTTCTGGAGAGCGATACCCGGCGAAGTCCCGAAGCAGCAACCGACCAAAACCCCGAGTGCCAGAGAACCACACTACCAGCTAGAAAGGGCGAGCAGTCGACCGGTTGAGGCATTCAAGAGGCGTTGTCCTGGAGAGGCCCAACGGCTCAGCAAGCACCAGAACGGCTGTCGTCCAAGAGGCAGACACCACGATACATCGAGTCCCGCAGCAAGCAAGATAAGGAGCAGAGCAGAGGACAAGTCACGATCGCAGCGGATAAATTATTGAGGAGCGCAGGAACGTCACGGACGTCAAGCAATAGGGTGAGGTTGGGGTGTAACGTTCGTATGCGCTAGGCGTAAAGCGAGGTGAATTGCCAGGCAGCTTCCTGGCGTTAGCCTTGACTGTCAGCGCGAACTGAGCAAGACCCCAGTGGGCCCGTGCGGGACCGAGCAAGGGACAGGCGGTCATTGTCTCGAAAGGCGTTGCCCTGGAGAGCGAGGCATCAGTTCACCCTAGTCGGAGAACGGTGACGCTTCCCTAAGCCCGTAGCCCGATCTCTCTGTGAGTCCAAGGCGCGACAGGCAACCTCGAGTCAACGCGTCGGCGAGTGAGCAGCGACGAGGGACACTACGAGTATCACGAGGTACAGGAAGGAGTCAGCGATCACCAAGTCAACGACGAGCAGTATCAGCATCCATTGAAAGCAGCGCGAGACGACACCGAGACCAACCGAGCCACCCACCGCTGTCATAAGTAAAACTAAAATAAACCCCCTGTTATCCTTTGAATTTGGTGCTTTCCCGCTGATTTACGGGCAGTCACGTCATAGAATTTTGGTGGGACGAACACACAATCTACTAAGCTAGCCGCACGAATCTCGTTGCGAGCAGACCAACAAAATCAGTTCGTTCCACGTTGTATATCTATTTTGCATCCGACCTTAGGGTTTGATAGTGCTATTATTTAGCAATCAAAGTAACTACTAAGTTATTTTACTATTGCTATAGGAGTTATTTCTTTAAAGCTTTCGGAAGTACTGCAAGCAGAAGACTAGACTTTTTTGAATAAAAATAAAATATCTTAATGCCTCTAATTTTATTCAAAGACCGAAAATGGTAGTTATACCCGTTACTCGTAGAGTAAAAGGGTATACTAGATTCGTCGGAAAGTATGTATCAGGCAGAAGGAAGCGTTTCCGACCCCATAAAGTATATATATTCTTGATCAGGATCACTAGCCGAGTCGATCTAGCCATGTCCGTCTGTCCGTCTGTCTGTCCGGATGAACGCTGAGATCTCGGAAACTATGGGAGCTAGGCTATTGAGATTTGGCGTGCAGATTCCTGAGCTTCTTACGCAGCGCAAGTTTGTTTCAGTACAGTGCCACGCCCACTCTAACGCCCACAATCCGCCCAAAACTGTGGCTCCTACAGTTTTGATGCTAGAATAAAAATTTTAACTGAAATGTAATGTTCTTATCAATACCTATCGATTGACCCAAAAAAAAATTTGCCACGCCCACTCTAACGCCCAAAACGCTTAAATCTGTATACCGCCGCCCACCCTAACTCCCATAAACCGCCCACAAACTTCAAAAAATCGTAAATATGAACGTGGATATCTCGGAAACTATCAAAGATAGAGAATTGAGATTTCAGATTTAGATTCCGTAGCCTTATACGCAGCGCAAGTTTGTCACGCGAATATGCCACGCCCACTCTAACGCCCACAAACCGCGAAAACCTGTGATGCCCACAATTTTTATGCTGAATAAAAAATTTTAACTGAAATGTATTGGTCTTGTCAATACCTATCGATTGGTCCAAAAAAAAATTTGTCACGCCCACTCTAACGCCCAAAACGCTTAAATCTGTATACCGCCGGTAGGTGGCGCATTTTAATCTCGCTTTGCTACTTGCATATCTCTATTTAGCTGAGTAACGGGTATCTGATAGTCGAGGTACTCGACTATAGCGTTCTTCCTTGTTTTATTTTTAAAATCACTGTTAATACCTCTTTCAAGATTTTTATGTAAAACGCATGAAATAATCGTTCTTCTGTAAGTTTTCTTTAAACTTGATAATCAAAACCTATTCTTTGAATTTTATTTTACGCTTTGAAAATAAAAAGTATTCTTTGAGTCTTATATAAAAATCTTTTGATAGGTTTTATTAAAGCAATGTAATTAAAAATTAAAGAAAATAGTAAAGTATAATATATTAAATATATACTGGTTGGCATAAGTATTTTGACGAAACAAAAGTTAAATATACTCATAATTTGAACTTACTTCTTGTACACTTTGTCATCAATGGAAAGGTAATTTAAATGCCGTTTGAATGATACAAACATTTCAAAACCCATTCAGTACTTATTGAAAAGAACGAAGTTGTGTATAAATGTAACTACAAAAAGAATTTTTCAAAAATCAGTTTGCTTATATTTTTATGATTTTTTGAAAATGTTTAGAAACATGCATTTGAGCCACATTTTTCTTTTTTTCATACAGATTTTATCCGACATAGTCACCTTTAAAAAATCATAATAAATATAAGCAACATTTTTTTACAGTTACTATTATTTTTGTTTGAAAAAACTTTGTGCATCAAAACATTAAGTTTTTAAGACTAGGAAAAAAATTCGTCCTTTTCAAAAAGAACTTAATGGGTTAAGAAACGTATTGTATCATTCAAACGTCATTTAAATTAAGTTAAGTTAAAATTATGAGTACATTTAACTTTTGTTTCGTCAAATTACTTATGCCGACCAGTGTATTTATATTTATATTCAAAGAATATCTGTTGTTTTCTAAGCGTAAATTAAAACTCAGAAAAAATAATTTTTTTCAAGATATAAAACTTAAATAAAATACAACTTTTTAAAAAAACCCGCAAAAAAAATCACTGCGGATTAGTAAATAACATAGTGTTATAATGCCAGTGGTGTAGTTGAATTTTTTCTAGCCCTCTTGGTTCAACCTAATATAGTTGTTCCTTTAAAACAAAGTTTCACCTTCTCTTTAAGCAAAGAAGTATTAAATAGTTAGGGTTCACAGATCACAAGAAAAGAAATAATTTTTACAAAAACTTTAATCTGGTATTTTTGTTTCAGTTTAAACATGAATTCAACTCATAATGTAAAAATGGATCTGTCTCTGGCGCACGAGTCAGGAAATATGCAAACCCAATTTGCATCCTTTCAAAACTTTGAACAGTTTTCGGCATCAGGATATTCAAACACGCCTATATATGTCACAAATCCGCCTGGAATCGGGGCCATGTCAAGTCTTGCACCACGCTCTTCGGTTCTTGGCCCTCAACATAAGATTCAAACCACCTCCCCAGACATTTCCATTCCCGGTACTGAAAATCATTCATTAGCTCCCACAGTGAGATATGTACAAGCAGGCAAATTCGAGGATACGCCACAATATGGAATATCTGGTATACCTTGTGGCATTGACTCCGAGTACACAGATGAACCTGTTGTACCGTACTGCTATACGTCAGAAGCTAACTACACAGGAATTCAAGGCACAACATCAAACATAAAACACCTTTCTGGAAGGACTTATAACGATAACCTAAACGGCTCCGAAGCAGCCGCAGATTCCCAATGTAGATCGTTCGAAAGTTCGACGGAATTTAAGTTACCGCAATTAACCATGAGTTCGTTAAACATTGTCCCTCAAAGAATGGGAGATAAAGATGATTATATTGCAGGATCGGATAATGATATTTGTTCTACAATGAGGTGGCGGGATCCAAATCTTTCGGAAGTTATAAGCTTTTTAAGCAATCCGAGCAGTGCCATAAAGGCAAATGCAGCGGCTTATTTACAACATCTATGCTACATGGACGACCCGAATAAGCAACGAACAAGATCTCTGGGCGGAATACCACCATTAGTTCGATTGCTGTCTTATGATTCTCCAGAAATACATAAGTAAGTAAAAAATATTTGTTTAAAAACTAACTTTACTACTAATAACTTTAATATAATTAAGTCAATCAATGTGTTGAATATATGTATGTGAGGCAAGCGTGAAATCACGGCTGACTTTGAAAATATGCAAATGTCACGTAGACAAAACAGAAATTAGACTGCTGCATCATTGTCGAATATTCCAAAATCATACGGGGCGTTTACTACTACATTTTCAAGCATTCATCGAACATTCGATAATTGTATATGAGTATTGATGGCCGCGTTCAGAACAACATGATAACTGATTATTGATCCATCAGTTAGCAGTGATCAAGTTTGTTCTGCTGAACGATCATGACACATAACGACTGTAAAAAAGTAAAACATTTTTTCCTGAAAAAATTCCACTGTGCACTTAAAATCCTTTTCTCATTTGGACCTAGTGCAGAGTTTTGACAATTACTTAGTAAACTAATGATTTTTTTTTATTAAAATTGCGTTTGTAAAAACGATATCGGTTGTTACCGCAACTGTAGTAGCACAGCAATCGTGGACATGTAAAAATCATATAGGCCCCAACATCTGTATAGAATTTAACTAACTTCATGGATTTGTAACAATTATAATCTTAAACATGTCCGTCTGTCCGTCCGTATAAGCGATGTGATCTCAGAAACTATAAAAGGTACAAATCTGGGATTTGGCATGTAAGTTCATGAGCTTCTTACGCAGCGCAAGTTCGTTTTAGCAGGGTGCCACGCCCACTCCAACGCCCATAACCGCCAAAAACTGGCGCACACAGTTTTCATGCTTAAAAAGTTTTAACTGAAATGAATTTGTCTTGTCAATACATATTGATTGACCCAGAAAAGTTTCCCTCGCCCACTCTAACTCCCACAACGCTTAAATCTGTATACCGCCCACTTAACCATATATTGAGAACGCGGGTAGGAGGCGCATTTAAATCTCGCTTGGTTGTTTGCATATCTCCATTTTTCTTTGGTCCCTTAAGCTGAGTAACTGGTTCCTGATAGTCGAAGTACTCGACTATAGCGTTCTTCCTTGTTATACCCGTAAATCGTAGAGTAAAAGGGTCTACTAGATTCGTCAGAAAGTATGTAACAGGTAGAAGGCCCACAATTTGCATGCTATATAAAAAATTTTAACTGAAATGTATTAGTCTCGTCAATATCTATCGATTTATCCAAAAAAAAAGTTTTCCATGCCCACTCTAACGCCCACAAACCGCAAAAGCCTGCGGCGCCCCCAATTTTCATGCTAGAAAACAAATTGAACTGAAATGTATTAGTCTAGTCAATACCTATCAGTTGACCAAAAAAAAAATTTGCCACGCCTACTCTAACGCCCATAACGCTTAAGTCTACCGCCCAAATAACTATATATTGAGATCACGGGCAGGTGGCGTTTTACAATCTCGCTATGCTCGTTGCATATCTTTATCTCCCTTTGGTCCCTTAAGCTGAGTAACGGATATCTAATAGTCGAGGCACTCGACTACAGCGTTCTTCCTTGTTTTACGCTCCTTTGTTACTGATCGTGATGAACGAATTTTCGCCTCATGATTAGTAATCATGTGCGTTCAGCAGAACTATCGTTAGAATTCATCACTGATCAGGTATAATAAACGCAAAATCCCATTTACACTTTTACAACATTTTCAAAAATATGGGAGCTAGACAGGTTTTTGCGTTATTGGGCGTTCAAATGGGCGTGGTCCTCCGATAAAAAAAATGGCGCTGCGCAAGAAGCACATGCTTAATCCCAACATTTGTTTACATTTTTGTTTATTTATTTTAATCCGCCAATCAGATAGCCACCTCTCAACTACCGAGAGGTGGTTTGCTAACTGTGTTGTGGCTCGGCCTGTATAGATACGACTCAAGAAGCTTGTGAGTGTAATCAGGGAAGTGTGTTTTGATTTTGTGCATGAGGCCATCTATCTATACTCGATCGAAGGCTTGAGATACATCGAGGAATATTGCGCTGCAGTATTCCCGATGCTCAAAGGCTGTGCGTATTTCTGATAATATTCTGTTAACTTGTTCGATTGTTCCATGGTTTTGGCGAAAGCAAAATTGATGAGCAGGGATAACATTTTGTGCTTCTAGATATGGTATTATGCGAGTTAGAAGGCATTTTTCGAACAACCTAGACAGACACGATAATAAACTAATTGGTCTGTAGGATGACGGAACTCTGTGGTCTTTTCCGGGCTTTGGTATCATAACGATAATAGATTTTTCCCATTTTTTCGAGTAGTAGCCGAGAGTTATGATCCCATTGAAGAGCTTACTAATAACCTCAATGGCAGAGTTTGGAAGTTCAATAAACATTTTTGGGGTTATTTGGTCACCGCCAGGGGCCTTTTCCGGTTTCAGTTCCCAAATGACTTTTGCGATCTCCTTTAGCTGAAGAAATGTTGGTAGGGAAATACTTTTAGATTCGATTTGTGGTAGGACAAATGAACCAGTGGCAGGGTTCGGTTGGAAGAAGTTTCTGAGATGTAAAGCAAAAGTTTCGGCTCTATCTTCGTCGCTGCGGACCCGGCTGCCAAATGAATTTCTTATCAGAGACACTGTTTCGATTGGAGAGCTCAGATTTGGGTGAGCTTTCCACAGAGGATGTTTTGTACTGGTTGGCGAAAGTTTTTAATGTACCGCAGCTGTGCATTTTCTGTCTCTTGCTTTAGAGCTCGATTTAGTGTGCGAGTGGCTTCCTTAAGACGCTGTTTTGATAACGGCGATCTGTTGGTTTGCCAGGCACGTCGCAGGCGCCTCTTTTCTAGGACTAGCCGTTCAATTTGCAGATTTGTTTTAAAGTGGTTGGTTTGCACGTCCCTGCCTTGTGGTGTTGAGATAGTGGCTGCCTCCACTTCTTTAAGAGCATTGGTAGAGCAGTCGATGTCCGCATCGATGTTGAAGTGAGGGGTTAATTTGATACATAATTTTTATATTTTAACCAGTTGGTTCTGTGCGACGTCAGCCCGAAGGGGTGATCTGTAGTTTTTGTGCTTTGAAGACGAGTTATTAGCACTGGCGAATGGTCTGACGACAGGTCCGAAAGCGCTTTGGCGCTTATTATATTGCGGGGAATGTTTTTTGTCACCGCAAAGTCTACTAGGTCTGGAACTTTCCTGGGGTCTGTTGGCCAGTATGTGGGGCTGCCAGGGGAAACATAGTCTAAATTGTTGATCGGTTTTATGATTGCATTGTATAATTGCCTTCCTTTGGGAGTCACAAGGCGTGATCCCCAGTGCGTGTGTTTGGCATTATAGTCCTCTGTAGCTATAAAGCGATATCCAAGCAAGTTGTAGAAGTCCATGAATTGTCCTTCAGAAATTGTAAAGCGAGGCGGACAGTAGACAGCGGCTGTGGTGAGGTTTCCATTGCCTGAGTAATTGTCTGTAAGTAATTAGTTGCAAATCTTTGATGAAAGTGGTTTTTGATGCGTTCCCTGATTAGGATGCCGGTTCCGCCGTGGGCCTTACCATCTGGATGGTCTGTGCGGTAGAAAGTGTAGCCTCTTATTTCCTTGGCGGTTACGTCGGGCTCGATTCCTTTTAGTACCACTTGCAGGCCCTTGCTGCTTTTTAGTTGGTACGTGTAGTAGCTTTTCCTAGCTTTCTCCAGGTATTTGGATACAGCTCGGAAATGTTCTTCAGGTTTGGTCTGAAGCTTGGTTTCATGGATATCCCTTTTTGTGACCGGAACAGCATGAAAGTTTCCGTCCCCGGTCAGCGCAACAATTTTGTTGACCAGGGCGTTCGAGATTTTTTCCCTAATGTAAATTGGTGGGGGTTTAGGTTTCGGTTGGGTCTCCTAAGCCTGTTCTATTTAATTTTCATCTAGAAGCGCAAATCTTTTGCTGTCGGATCTCCCGGGTAATTTATTTTCTATTTGGACACGGTTTATTTTTGACTTGTTACCTACCGCGGTATTCTGCGGGCTAAGCTCACGCTTGATATGGATGTACCGATCTAGTCCTGAATTTTGTTTTGGTTTTGATTTGTTGTCGTGGTTTTTGTTTCCGTTAAATTTAGAGCTGCGGTTGCAGTCGATTCCGAATAGCCGTAGCTGTGGTTGTTGTTGTTTTTTTTGCCGTAGCTGTAGTTGTTGCTGACAAATTTTGTGCGGATGCAGAAGTTTTACCGTTGCTTGTTGTTGGTGCGGCAGGGGTCGAAACTGATGGTGGGGGAGTTTTGCATTTTTTGACTCCACGCCGTCGGAGTTGGGGTAGCCGTAAGTAAGCATGGTGAGCAAGATCGTGCTCTTTGGCTATCGACCGACAGTAGGGTCTTTTTTGCACTTCGTTATCACGCGTTGAGACATACGAAATGTAACCGTCTCTTCGGCTCGGGGAGCTTAGTCGCTCTTTATTTTGTTCGTAGCTCATTGAGCTTTTATTAGCGTGGCACTGTAAGATAAAATAATTATATGCTAGTTTAAGTCATTACACCGATTTTGTGAGTTTAAACATAAATTGCTTTGGGTTTTAGCATCTTTTCGCTTATTTATTAGGATCGGTTTTCCATCACAATTTTGTCGTCAAATTCTAGGATGTGCACTTTTTTTTTAGCAATGCCGTTATGTATTGAGAGTGTGCTTCAGCGAAAATATGTGAGATAAGTCGCATCGGTTTTCTGTGTTCTTAGCTACAGGTGTGTTCATTGAAATAGCAGTGCTTATGACCTGCACGTATAAAATTGAAATGTAAACACATCATTGAGACAAAACTTAGATACAACAGTTTTAATTGTTTTTTTTTCTAAATAATTTAACTGTTTTTTCCTGTTGCGCACTTAAATATTTTAGTAAATATGGATAATAACAAAAAAGAAAGACTAAATTATGGTGTTCATTAAAATAGTAGTCTTTAAAGAAAAATATGATAAAATTCAATAAGGCTCATAAATAACTTAATCCTACAAAATATTGATTTGATTACGACCCAATATTTAGTTGTATAGCCTTTATTGGCTATTACAGGCTAACACCTAC